TCTTTTATTTGAGAGAAAAATGAGAGAATATTGTTGTTCTTCGAACACTTTTGTTTACACCATAAATTACAAAATTTTAAATTAATGTCACGTGTAAAATTTTTATTGGCTGGAGGAGTTTGAGCCATGTCAGATTTGGATTTTGGGCCCATGACAGATCAGCACATGTGTTGACAAGATAGGAGAGGTAAAGATAATGTTTTATGGAGTAATTATCTTCTTGAAACAGAAAGAGATAGTGGCAGCTGGAAAATAGGGGAAAATCACAATTAAAAAGGAGATTTTATCTGATAAAGCACAGGTGATGAAATCTGGAAGGGGATTAGACTAGGTCAAAAGGTGAGATGTCCCACTACTCCAACAAACTACCCATGGTTGGGTAATTGCCGACACAAGAGGAATAAAAAGGAAACTTTGGCAAGGGGAACAGACGGCCAGCCCTACTCAAACAACTGCAAATTTTCATACTTTGATTTTCTCTGCACATGTTTCCAGATTTCGGATTTCAGCACAGATTTCATATTTCAGCACAGATTCCATTAAAATTAGGTTGTTTTTCATCATTCCAGTAGACAAATTAATTCCTATATTCAGTTAAACAATTTCCTTTCATGCAATGAACTTCAATCCTTCAAGTTTATGCAAGGTATTGTTTTCTTTTCATTTGTAATTAATTTAATGTTTATGTTAAGTAGCATTGCTTCAATGATTACTTATGTGGCTTTCATGCTTCTTTCCAAATTCAAGTTCTTCAATTTCTTCACTGTTCACGTTTAATTTTAGTGCTAATTTAGGAGTAAATTTTCAGTTCTGCAGCAATTTAATTTCCGAATCTGTCAATAAATTGCATTTTAATTTTATCATAAGCATGTTTAATTTAGTTTAAGTACATTTCTTTCTTGCAAGCTTATTTTAAATTGCAGGTAATTTAAGATAATTAGGATTTGATAATTTAAAGTTACGGTAGTGCTTAAGTCCTTGGAGTTGTCCAAGGCAGATTTCGTAACCCAATTTGCAGGAAGGCGCAATTTCAATTTTAATCCAACGTTCTTCCCGCCATCTGCGAAGAGGTCGACCGTGAGGAAGGAGAGGGTCGTTGGGAAAATCCTCCTTTCTTACTTTCAGCAAAGTAAGTGGCACGCCCGCAACCAGATTTCACACGTGCGAGGCCACTAGAGGATTTTTGAGGAAACAACTTTATTCCATCTTCATATCATGTCATTGTTATACATTAGTTACAAAATCAAATAAAATAATAATTAATGAACTTATCAAGAAATATCGATAAAAAAAATTTCATTGAAATAGATATGAAAAGTATATTTACTTTAAGGCGATTCATACTTTTGTAGAAAGTAGATCGATCAACCGATACAGTAAAAATATATATAGCATGTCGCTATCAAGATACTATAGCTTTATAATAACATTTTATGAATCCATACTACTTATAGAATCACCTAATTCAAAACATCACTCTTTACCATGTTAATTTAATTTAATTTTAAACATGTTAATTTAATCATTTGATGCTATTTAGGCTTCTTCTCAACTTCAAACATGTTAATTTAATCACTGTTCATGTTTATTTTAGTTTTAATTAGGGTTAAATCTCTGATTCTGCAGTAATTTAATTTCTAAATCTGTCAGTAAATAGCATTTTAATTTAACAATAAACATGTTTAATTTAATTTGGGTACATCTTCTTTTTTTAAATTTACTCTAAATTGCATGCTATTTAGTTTAATTAGGATTTGTTAATTTTGATTCACGGTAGTGTTTAAATCTTTGGAGTTGTCGAAAACAGATTTTGTAACTCATTCTACGAGAAGGCATCCCTCCCTTTTGCAAATCATCTGTAGGTGCAATTTTTAATTTTAAACCAACATTCTTCCCACCATCCGCAAGAAAGTCAATCATGAGAAAAGAGAGGGTCATTAGGAAATCCTTCTTTTTTACTTTCAACATAGTGAGTGGTATACCTGCATCCAAATTTTGCACGTGCGAGGTCACTAGAGGATTTTTGAGAAAACAGTATTAATGTATTCTTAAGTAGGATAATTAACTTATAACGGCTAATTTGACCAAATCCTTAGTGGGACAATAAATTCAATTTATAAAATATATTTTTTATTTTTTATTAAAATATTTAAATCCCAACAAATATTTCATCCAATCAAATTAAAATGTTAACTGAAGTCTAAATTTTTTACTAGACAAAATATTCTTCCATTCCCTCTCCTTCACTTTTTTTTTTTTCTCTTAAACTAAACAAGCAGTATATTATGTAAGAAGAAAATGTACCCCCAAAAAATGAAGAAATTTAGTTCCAGTTATTGTTTTCTGCAAAATATGGTATCAGAACAATAAAGCCTTCTCTTCTCGGGATGCAATATATTTTCTGCTATTTGCCAAATGGAAAGCGCTCTAGATGGGTGAGGAGGCTTTTTTTTTTTTTTTTATTAATATTTTTTTCCACGAAAACACAGGCGATGCCGAGTGCAGGAAGCTTAATTTGTGATTCTCTAGGTGTCTGAATGCACAGGTTCTCTCTAAATATTGCAATCTCCTCCAGCGTTAATGGAATAATGAAGAGCAGGCGTCTTTGACATTTCTCAAACTACTTGTGGAATTTGACTCTTTGGTTTAACCACTAGGCATAACTCAATCGTGGGGCAAGTGATATAAACATCAGTGCTGCAATTCTTACCTCTAATACAAGGGAAATCATGCAACTCTTCTTTTACCACATGCACTCTGCAAATACCCTCTCGCGAGGCCATGATTTACTTCGGGACGCCACAAGCTGGGCTTAGCATTCTCTATCAAGCACACGCTTTCAGGGTTTACTTGCCCCCAACGTTGTAGATTAGAGTTTTGCCTCTTTCTTATTTCATGTACCAAAATAAAAAAAGTAGTCTAGTATTTTTAGGTCATTTCTCAATTACTTCAGTCAGCTGAAGATGCCATTTCTACAAAACGATGGGGTCAAATCCCAACTACCAATAAAGAATATATAACATCCAACAAAACCAAACTTAACCTAACTGAAAAATCCGTAGTCCAAGACACGACAAAAATCCATTCCGACAGTCTCCCCAAGTTAGGTTTTAAGCATGTTTTCATAGCTAGTCCATGGAAGAAAGATAGCTTACGCAAAACATGATGTAGGTTTCCACAACTGTTGAACGCCGATCAATGAAGAGAGAATGTGAAAGTAAAACTAACATAAACTAACAGATGTAAGTCAGCAATTGTGCAAAAAGCATTCAATCTAGCATTCAATGTAACCCTCAGCCAAGGTTTTACCAGAATAAGTTACTCATAGCCACACAAATTCTTCACAAGTACTAAAGCTCATTACAGCCCAAGTGCAGAAAGTCAAGTAGGGATTGGTGCTCTGGTGAGGTTATATTAAGCTAAATGTACATTAAGAATCCATACATTTGCACGATCTAAGTTCACTGTCAATCAACAAAGGGTACCACCTCACTTGGGATTTCGCAGCACAATGATGACAGAATCTCCTCGCAGGAACATCTTGCTTATGAATCTGTCCTTGTTAACCGGAAGTGCCTTCTTCTTGCCTTTCCCAGTCTTTGGCACCTATACAAAGAAACCATAAGTTATAGATAATCAGATGTGAAAGGAATTACTGAACAAGATCATGACTCACAGAAAACCAACCTCAGTCCACATCTCCCTCACATTCTCCAGAACCATGTTACAGTGCCTATCAAAGGCTCTCACTCGACCGAGCAGCTTTCTGTTGTTACGACAATTAATGAGAACCTGTTTATGAAAGCAAAGATCAGAGCAAGACACAAATATATGGATATTGGCAGAGAATCAAAACAATAATATTACCTGAGTGTTATTTTTCACGCTCATCATCAAAACTGAGAGCGGTCCAGTGTTGAATTCTTCTTCCTCATTTTTGGCACCCTGCAGCAATCAATTGAATGAACTTTTGTAACTTGTAATTACAAAAAAAATATTTGAATGACCACAAAATAAAAATAAAAATAAAAACATTTGAGAAAAATATGTAATGGAACCCATATGGCTTCTAAAGTGACATGCAATTATCCATAAGTTTATAATAAGCTGAACGTGTATAATTATCCATTGGGCTTTCATGGGAGCTAACATCAGTGTAAGATTATATTGCTGCAAAGTATGGTATAAACAGCAGAAGGTTGGCATAACAGAACCACATGGATAACGCATACAATACTTGTAAATTGTTAAGTAAACACAAAGAAAATTAAGCATTTAAGAAAACTTACCTCTTCCTCCATCGGCCGACTGAAAAAAGGAGAAAACCACAGAAGAACGCATATTAGTCCTTCATTAAAGAATAGTCCAAGATGGTATAAAACAGAAGGCAAGAGAAAATAATTAGTACCTCATTTTTGGAAGATTAAAGTTCCCAAAATGTCCTCCTACAAAAAACATAACAAGGAAAAAAACTAATCAGAATATAAATATATATAAACATAATAAACAAAACTGTCTACTTGAAAGTTGAAAAGTAAAAAAGAAAATTGAAAGGCAGAGTAAACAATTTTCTTTGCAAAACATGTACAAATTTGATTAATGTACCATAATAGAAAGTTTAGGTTTTAGAGAATTCACAAACAATCAACTGCAGACATTAACAGTAGCATGTAAAAGAAAGGCACAGGCATAGATCAGCCATATGACATTAACAAAAAGCCAAAGGAGTTGTCTACACTGAAAAGTGCCAATGTGGTTGTAAGTGAGACAAAAGCATGTAATGACAAGAGAAATTCATTTCCACTAAAAGGTCTTCTGCAAATCTCTTCAGCTCAGGTCTCCACAATTTTTCAGCACAGAATAATAACTCAGGAGAACGAAAGTTTCAAACATAAACATCATGAGAGTAACAGAAGACCTTATTGAACATGCAAGGAAAAAGTTACCCTTAAACATAAAACAGCATATTTAAACTCAGTATTTTAAAACAGAAACACAGTTTCCTTGCATCAAAATAAATGACGCACACTAAATATTCACATCGAGAGTCAAAGGCTGTCAATGTTAAATGTAATTAGCACCAAAGAATAAAAGTAAAGCCTCATCAGTTCAGGTCTCCAGAATTCCACTATCTCGGGAGAACGAAAGTTTTAATTTTAATCATCCCAAGTGGCAAAAATAAAAAAACCCAGAATCTAATTTTGATGCATCATTAAAGGATATGAAAGGCAGAATGAATACCTAGAATTAAAAACATAAGATGTGCGACTTTAAACTTACTTCAAAATTTACTAAAAAAATACAAAACTGAACCGACAATGCAAATAAAAAAACGTCTCTTCAGCTCAGGTCTCCAGAAGTATTCCGCACAGATTTTTTCTCAGAAGAACGAAAGTTTTTAAACAAATCATCATCAGAGACGTA